GCTGGGAAGAAAGAACTGGTGGTCAGCGGGCCTCTCTGTGGGCTATGGCTTGCCATTGGGTGTCCCTGGCTCGTTGCTCATACCAAGTCTTTTTCTGCCCCAGGTTACAGTCCTTACAAGGTTACATATGCCTCTGATTACTTTGACCAGCTGTATGCCTGGGCCGTGGAGCTCATCCGTAGGTGAGGCCGGGGCTGTCACATAGAACTAGGCAGGCTGCCCAGGACATAGCCATCTTGGGTGCTCATACCTCTTCCCCCATAGGGGCCAGGCCTATGTGTGCCACCAGCGAGGAGAGGAGCTCAAAGGCCATAACTCATTGCCCTCACCCTGGAGAGACCGTCCTGTAGAGGAGTCACTGCTGCTCTTTGAGGTGGGGTTCTAGAGGGGCAAGCTGGGTCTGGGTGGGTGCTGAGGAGGAGGTGCCCCTGTGCTGAGAGGCAGTCTGAGCCCTTGGTCCTGTCAGGCAATGCGCAAGGGCAAGTTTGCGGAGGGTGAGGCCACATTGCGGATGAAGCTGGTGATGGAGGATGGCAAGATGGACCCTGTGGCCTATCGAGTCAAGTATACACCACACCATCGCACGGGGGACACCTGGTGGGTGTGAACATGGGATGGGGCTGTGGGATTGTAGAGTGGGGTGGGGGGGCCATGGGTAGGGCAGAGTGGGGCTGGATGGTGGGGCCCATTGCCTATGCCCTGCAGGTGCATCTATCCCACCTATGACTACACACACTGCCTCTGTGACTCCATCGAGCACATCACCCACTCACTCTGCACCAAGGAATTCCAGGCCCGGTGAGGGAGCTGGGCCTATGGGGTGGCGAGGGCCAGTGGGATTCCAGCAGCCCTTCCTGTGGTCTCTCTCTGGTCTGATGTGGCCAGACCTGACTCTACTCTCCCACCCCAGACGCTCTTCCTACTTCTGGCTGTGCAATGCTTTGGATGTCTATTGCCCTGTTCAGTGGGAGTACGGCCGTCTCAACCTTCACTATGCTGTTGTGTCCAAGAGGAAGATTCTGCAGCTTGTGGCAGCTGGTGCTGTGCGGTAGGATGATTGTTTATCTCACTGAAGGTTGGAAGTAACTAGTGGCATATACTGCCAGTATCTCACCACCTCCTTGCCTGCAGGGACTGGGATGACCCACGGCTCTTCACACTCACAGCCTTACGACGGCGGGGCTTTCCGCCTGAGGCCATCAACAACTTTTGTGCTCGGGTATAGCCCAGTGGGCTGGGTGGGCAGGTGGGGGCTGAGTAGTGCAGTTTGTGGTTGTGGCTGTGAGTGATGCTGATCTTCCTGCTAGGTGGGGGTGACAGTGGCACAGACCACGATGGAACCCCATCTGCTAGAGGCCTGCGTGCGTGATGTGCTAAATGACACAGCCCCACGGGCCATGGCTGTGCTGGAGCCATTACAGGTCGTCATCACCAACTTTCCTGCTACCAAGGTAGGTGTGCCTCTCTATGTATGTTTTGGGGGAGGGGGGCACCTGGGTCTGGACATGGGGGTCCCAGTGTCTAGTGTGACTCACACCCATCTCCTGCTATAGTCCTTAGACATCCAGGTTCCCAACTTTCCAGCTGATGAGACCAAGGGCTTCCATCAGGTTCCCTTTGGACCCATGGTCTTCATTGAAAGGACTGACTTCAAAGAAGTAAGTAGGGGGTGTGAAGGGTCCTGTTTGCTGTTGAGCCCAGTCCTGAGATCCCTTCATCTCCTTTTGTCAGTCCACCTACTTCCTACTTCAGATGAACCAGCCCCTGCCAGACATAGGGGTGGGGGGAGAAGCCTCTTGTACTTTTTTGACCTTTGCAGTCTCCTGTGTCCACACTACTTCCTACCTCTAGGAGCCAGAGCCTGGCTATAAGCGCCTGGCATGGGGCCAGCCTGTGGGTCTAAGACATACAGGCTATGTCATCGAGCTGCAGAATGTTGTCAAGGTGAGAGCAGTCAGTGCCTGCTGTGGGGAGGATCTGGGTGCATGCAGACTCCAGTTCTAGTAGTGGTCCCTGGGTCTAATTGTAGGCTCCTCGACTTCCAGGGCCCCAGTGGCTGTGTAGAGAGCCTGGAGGTGACCTGTAGACGGGCGGATACTGGAGAAAAGCCCAAGGCCTTTATTCACTGGGTGTCCCAGCCTCTGACTTGTGAGATTCGCCTTTATGAGAGACTGTGAGTGAACAGAGCTGGGGTGTATGCAGATACAAGATGGGCACAAGATGGGCCTTGCCTGCTATGGCTACTTAGCTGGGGTCTTGACCTTCCTTCTGGTTACAGATTTCAGCACAAGAACCCTGAGGATCCTGCTGAGGTGCCTGGTGGATTCTTAAGTGACCTGAACCCGGTAGGCTCATGGGGTATAAGGTGAGGGTGGTGCGTCTCTCTGGCTGGACGGCCCCTGAGTTTCCTGCCCACAGGCATCGCTACAAGTGGTGGAGTCAGCGTTAGTGGACTGCTCTGTGGCCTTGGCAAAGCCCTTTGACAAGTTCCAGTTTGAGCGGCTTGGCTACTTCTCTGTGGATCCCGACAGCAGCCAGGGACAGGTACACGAGTTTACCTGCCTGCCCTTTGTACAACAGTGACAATGGTAGCTACCATTTACTGTGCCAAGTGCTCTGCCAACATTCACTTAGTTAATCCTTACCACTTGAGATGGGGTTCATGTTTTACTGATGAGGAAACAGGTTCAGAGGTCCAGGCACAAAATTTTGTATGGCCCCTGCCTTTCTTACTCCTCAAGGGTGTAGGGGTCAGGCATAGTGGTTGTTATAATCCTTATAAAATGGAGGCCTAAAGTCATCCAGTCCTCTACCCAAAGTCATAGTTATTGAGAACCCAAATGTCCTGACCCTCAGCTCCCCTGGGAGGAGGTAAGGGTAGGGTCTGGTGAGGTCTGGGCTTCCTAGCCTGGTTCTGGCTTGGTTGTCATTCTTCCCCCTCTGCCATCCAGCTTGTCTTCAACCGGACTGTCACACTGAAAGAGGACCCAGGAAAGGTGTGAGCTGTAAGGAAGCCCCGTGGACCTACCTCATGCTTCTGGAGGCCAAGGGTACTCAGACTCCATGTCAATAAAGAACAGCTAAATCCCCTGGAGTCTGTGTGTTGTCTGTCTGCACTTCCAGCTCCTGAGGACCTCAGAGACTTGCTGAGGGTAGGGAGGAGGTGCACTGCACATACCTTTGAAACCACTGATACACTTCTTAGTGCTCTAGGGCGGGGATCTGGGCCTGATTTGAAATCCTGTGCACCTGGCATGAGGGGCTAGCAGGCTCTGAGTGCTGTCCCACTGTTTGGAAACTTGTGCCAGAGGGATCTGAAGGGTTTGTGTCTGCCTGTGTGCCCAGGCAGATGAAAACACCTGGTTCTCAGTCTAATCATTTAGCAAATAATTATTGAGTGCCATCTATGTGGCAGGCAAAATGAGAAGAGGAAGACTTGTGAGGTGGCCTTCTAAGTTGACGGACTAGTTGGGCAGACAGAGGGTGACCAGGCACTGTGCAAGACAGGTCTTCCTGGGGCCTGTACAAGGCTGGAGGAAGTTCCTGACCAATCCTGTGCCTCAAAGTACTCTCAGGAGGTGACTCCTTAGGGAACCCCTAGGGACCAAGGAGTTGTTTGCCAGACAGGAGGAACAAGTGCAAAGGCCCTGGGGCCCTTTTTAAAAAAAGTCTATAATCGACTGGTTGCCCTCAGGGGCAGTGTGGGCTACTAGTGAGGCCCACGTGTGCCTGCAGCTTTAACACCCTCCACATTTTCCCTGTATACAAACACCAGGCTACCAGAGGCCCGCTTTAAGGTGGACTGGGTTGCTGAAGGCTGGATTAGGAAGGCGGCGGATTGAGGAGGGGGTTCCTAACTGTTAAGGACTCCAGCACGAAAGTGACTCTGGGCTTCCCAGGTGGGGCGATGGTACGGGGGCGCAGAGCCTAGGTCAAGAGGCTGCGGGGGCTACCTTAAGCAAGAGACAGGGCCCCGCCCCATGTGGGGCTGAGCGATTGAAGGAGGCCCAGACAGGCTGCAGAAGGTGGGTCCAGAGAGCAAGCTTGAGACCCAAACCGCCCAGGCTCCTACTCCAGGCCGGTCTGCGGCCCTGGCCCCGCCCAGCATGGAGGGGCGTCCGAGGGCGGGCCGCTCCGCCCTACACTCCTCGCTCTACTCGCCGTTTCTGCATCCGGAGGCCCGGCCTCTCGCCTCAGCACAAGCGTTCCCTTTAAGTCTGGCCAGGAGGCAGTCTCAACTCTCGCGGGATTCGACGCTTCGGTTATCGCGAGAGGGGCATTCGGCACCCATTGGCTGTGAGGGTTGAATGTAAGATGGCGCCCAGGGAGCTGTGAGGGGAAAATCCTGTCGGTCTTGGAGCGGCGACGGCGGAACCGGGGCCCCGAGCGGTGCGGCGGGGCCGGCGGGTAGAGCGGCGGCGGCGGCGGTGGCGGCGACGACGACGTCGCCGGGTGAGGGCTGCAGCTGGGGCAGAGATGTGGCGAACCTGTGGGCCTGAGACAGCGGGCCCACCCCACACAACGGCGGGCGGGGGCGGGCGGGCGGGCCGCTGCCTCTGGGCCCAGGAGACCTCGGGGCGGCTCCGGAGAGGAGAATGTCCCTGGGCTCGCGCGCCCCCGCCCCTTGTGGAGTGGGAAGAGGCAGGTCGGGGACTCGGGTGGGTGCGGCGCGCGAACGCGCACTGGTTCTCGCGCGCGGCCGGGCCTGTTTATACGCGGGCGCGCGCGCGCTGTGCGGCCCTCCTGGCGCGCGTGGCCGCCGACGTGCGCGTTCCCGGTTTGGGTATCTCCGCTCCTGGTGCTGCGGCCCTTGGGCAAGAGCGGGTGTCGGTGGCGCGCGCCCGCCCGCGACCCCCGCTTTCGGGGCGCGCGCCCTGCTGTTGGGTGGCGACGCTGCCGCCGCGAGGACGCGCAGGACACCTCTGCTGCGTGGAGCGGCGGCGAGCTGGCGGGAGGCTCGCAGTGTGAGGAAGGTTGTGGGTTGGGCCCTTCCTGCTCTGGTGACGTCCCCGGACCGCCGTGGCCTAGGCCTGGGGAGAAACCGACCGGCTTTACCGTCTGACTTAAGGATCCGCTCTTCCGCGAGGCCGGCGAGATTGCTCGTTCTTCTCGAAGAATGCAGTGACTTGAGGCTAATGTGCGGGGAGGGTGCTGCCCTGTTTCTGAAACTGAGCTATGTAGGTCTGTGAGGGCAGCGAGCCCCCTCGAGTTTCCTCACCTTGTTCTTGTGCTTTGTGCTGGAGAGGGAAGGTTAATCCTGGAAGGCTCTTCAGCGGTACCTGCTTTCTTGTCATTGCAAAGTAATTCTTCCATAAGCGCAGTTCCTACGCGTCACCTCTGTGCGCTCCGGAAGGGGATCCTCTTCTGTGGTCGTGAAATTACCCGAGCTTTAAAATTCCACTTCAGATCCTTAAATGCAGCCTTTTCTTCTGTGTGGGTGGGAGGGGCTTGCTTGTATTCTGTTAGACTAAGGAAGGCCCGCTATCTCTCAGCCAAAAAGTTGACCAGAACAAAATTAAACAACCTGAGAAACCTGTGCTCTGCCTTCTTTTATAATTACAAAATTCCCCAACAGAAATTCCTAAAATCTGTTCATATATCACTGCAGAAGTCACTTTTGATGTAGAATTTCAATCGTTTTCGGCTTTTTTGTTGTTGGTATGGTACTAGGGGAGTTCTAGGTTTGTCCTAGAGAAATAACGCACTTCTTTTTTCTAAGATAAGACATCTGACTGTTTTACAGTCTTGCTTAATTAAGTTGAAAGAAAAAGAAGCTAAGAGGAAGTAAAATTAGCTACCAAACTTAATAATGATGGGGGTAATTCTTTTAATATACTGTATTTTAAGAACAAAGTTAAAATTTAAAAAGAGGCTGAGGATGGAAAGGACTTCTTTGTTCTATCTTCTTCAGAATGTTACAAGTCTTAAGAACTCAGGACAAGCAGCAGAAATACATGCAACATGGTGACTGGTGAGTTAAAATCATTCATATGCTGAAAATATGTGTGCAGTCTTTTTCCTAGTAGTATTGAAACATTACAAATCCTGCCAATTACTCTGGGTGCTGTCTGACAGAAACTACTAAGTGCTGGGAAATTGAAGATGTGGGAGAACTGCATCTTTGAATCCAGCCACAGTTTGCTGCTTGAACACTTTTCTTCCCTTGAAATGTAAGTCAATGCAACTTTCAGGTTTTAGCATGAGGGTGCACAGCTTTTCTAAGGACCTTAAGTGGTGCAAAGAAAAGTAGTAAAGTTTGAGGTAGACTTAAAATTTTGATATACCTTTTAGGCCTGCCTGTTCCAAGATATCTTTGTTTTTAACTATTAAGTTTGAGGTCTGCCGTTTAAATTGGTGTTTGTAGATAATATTTTTGTAAGCTCATTAACTTAGATTTATCTATTAGAGGATCTCCTACTTTCAGCCCTCTGTGATGAATAGTTTGTGTACCTTTTCATAAACCTTTGCTTTACACATCCCCTTTCCAGCTTATGTTGTTGCCATTTCAAATAGATCAAATAGGGGTTCAGATTTCTTAAAATTTTAATTGCTCCCAAAAGGTAACCAAAGTCAGGGGCTCTAGTTATGACTGTCTTGCATTATGACAGCTTCAGAATTAGGAATCTTTTCCTTAAAGTTTGCATGCTGTCTTTTAATCAGTTGTGGTTTGAACTCTATGTGTCATGCTTCTTGTCTACTTTTGAAATGGCCATTCTTTGTCTGTAATGGTCTTTTATTTCTCCATCTCAGAATGAGGTGTTATATGAGCACCTATTCTTTTCTGTTACTTTGTACTTAGTTGCCCTGCATTTTGTTCCAGATGTTTTAAGTCCTCTCCAGGATTGTGATTTCTGATTGTGGCTGCATGAACAAGGGATAGATTAACCTCTTGCTTTGCTGAAAAGGGGGAAAGAATGAACTTTTGGTGTCACACTTGAGGCTAGAGCAAAATTTTAGGTAGAGCTGGTTGGCTGTATCAAAGCTTTTTTTTTTTTTTTTTTTTTTTTTTTTTTTTTTTTAAATACCTGTAAATTCAGGTGATCTGTATAAAATTTAATGAAAAATTATAAAATGAACCACTGGTTTACGACCTCTTCAAGAAGTAGAACAGTGCCAGCACCCCTGCACCCTTCAGGGGTCCATTCCTAGTCATAGCTTCTCAACTGCTAGAGATAATTATCATTTTGACTTCTGTGACAATCATGTTCTTTTTCTTTTTACTTTTATCACCTTCATATTTCTCAACAACATAGTTTTGTTTGCTTTTGAGTTTTATGTACATGGAATCATACTGTATTTTATGTCTTCCTTCTTTAAGCATTGCTAAATTCATCCCCATTGTGTGTGACTGTAGTTCATTCATTCCGGTTTCTTTATAGTATTCAACTATATGACTGTACCATAATTTACTCATCCCGTCTGTTATTGCTAGACATCTAGATTTCTTCCAGTTTGGGGCTGTTACTAACAATACTACTTTGAACATTCTTGTATAATTACCTTTCTGTATATGTGTGTGATACACACCTGGGGATAGAATTCAGCTTTACTAGTTGATACAAATGGTTGTGCCAGTTTACAGTCCATCAGTCTTTGGTGGGAATGTGAATTTAAGTTCCTGGTTGAAAGTGTGTTGTCCAAAAATAGAAACATGGCAAAAATGCCCCTAAATCAGGCATTCCTCTGGTAAAGGTGTGGGGCAGATAAATGACCCAGTGGGATAATACTTATCCCAAACCATGTATAGGTTTCGTATCCTTAAGAATAGAAGTGTATCTCCCAATTTGCTTCTTTGAAATGATTCTTTATGTTAATTAGGACAGATGTGACTGCAGCTCCTTAAAATAGAAGTTGATTTCTTTTTTAATGTGAATGTGTTCTTCAAACGGACTTAAACAGAGCTGTAAGGAGCCATCTACACACAGTAGATGTGAACTGTGAGAGGGGCCCAATAACATGACTGGGTAAACAAGAAGAGGCAGGGCTCTGAGGCAGCTCAGAGTTTCTTCTCTTAGTCCATTTTATATTCAAGACCTGCTTTGTGGAACTGCATGGGAAACTGGGAACAGGTATCAGAAATTTGAGGAGACCCAAGATAGGATGATTCTGGTGAGTATTTAAGTCTTCCTTTAGTACCTAAATAGAAAAAAGAAAGAAATTGGCAAAGAGATCTATGAAAATGTAATAGATTATTCCTTTAGAATAACCTTTGTCCATCATACCTTCTTGTGTTCTAGTTATAAAATAATAAAAGTAATGATAACTTCATACATTGAGGGCCTAAATCTGTCAGACACTGTGCTAAGCTCCAGTAGAAGATACTGGGGAAATACTAGTGATTGATAGGTGTGTATATAAGTGAAAATTTTCTAGGTCTTTTGGTGTGGGGTTTTCTGTTTATTGTTTTGCAAAGCAGCTATGCTTAAGAGTATTCAGAAGCAAATGCTTGTTTACAGACTGCCCTATCCCAATGAGCCCCAAAGTGTTTTCCTCACTCTTTGCTTTTTGACTCCCAGAAATTGGGAGTATTCAACTTTCCCTCCAGCTTCATGTTTTTCTGAAGTATTTTAATTAATCATTTAATTTACTGTTGCTCACCAAGTCTTTGACCTGGAGCTAATTAAGAATCTTGCTTCTTTGGGGGGTTGTAGAGAGTTTTTCCATTTCTCCATTACCAGGGCTCACCCTAGTGCAGCCTTGTGAGTAGCATCTTGAAGAAGTTAACAGTCTTCATTATTATGCAAGCTCTGGTGCTTGATGATTTTGTCTTTAATAAGAGTTTTAGGTTTTGAGGGAAAAATCATGCTACGGTCAGCCAGAATTGTTTGTGTGTTACTGTGGTGTAATTGGTGTGTAAAAAGATTAATTTTTAATTATCTTTTTGATTTAATACAAATTGTGGAAAATATAGGAGAGTATTAAACAGGAAGAAATTTAAGTCCTCTGAATCTACCACCAAGGCAGAACTACTGTTAGCAGGTTTTTTTGCTTTTTTTTTCTTTAGGTATATAAACAATATTGGGATATATAAATACAATTGTATTAGTTCCCTTTTCACACATAATTTATTTCTTTGTTAAATTTAAATAAGCTATTGAGAGGACAAGAACTCTTCCAGATATTAACATCTTTTTTTTTTTTTTTGGCTACTGTGTTAGTAGATCCGTAGAACACTCAGTAAATGCTTAGGAGCGGACTTTCTTTATATGAATTTGGTATATGATAACAGTGGCATTTCAAGTCATTGAACAAAGGAATTTCAGTAATTCAGTAAACGATACAGGGACAAGTCTTTTGCTCGTTAGAAAAAATAAAATTAGACTTTTACCTCACATTATACAAAAAAAATTTTAAATTAATCAAAGCATTGTATTAAAAAATTACACTGTTAAGTTAAAAACTTGTAGGTGAATAATGACCTGATTTTATGGTAGAGAGGGCTTTTTCTGATCACAAAAACAAAGGAAGAAACCGTGGTCACCACTATTGAGAATTTGCTTAATTTTTCTGTTTTTTTTTTTACTCACTGACTAGTCTAAAATATTTGAATACATTTCTGAAACCTTCCCTTCGCCCACCCCCTTCTGAGCAGCACTTTTGTGTAAGGTCAAATGCTGACTTAGTGTGCTTTCGTTATTGGGATGTGTCAGTCTGGTAGATACTACCAAGTGAGCAGGTTAAAAAGACAAGAAATGAAGCCATGTGTGTTTTAGTCTGTATAAAATGGGCAGATTGGAATGTTCTTTCAAATTGGCCTTTTCCATTAAATTTTTAAGTTCTCCAGGGGGTGCCTGGCTGACTCAGTCAGTAAAGCATGTAGTTCTTGATCCATGGGTTGTGAGTTTGAGCCCCACATTAGGTGTAGGGATTTCTTAAAAATAAAATCTTTTTTTTTTTTTTTTTAAGATTTTATTTATTTGACAGAGAGAGATCACAAGCTGGCAGAGAGGTGAGGAAGCAGGCTCTCTGCTGAGCAGAGAGCCCGATGTGGGGCTTGATCCCAGGACCCTGGGATCATGACCTGAGCCGAAGGTGGAAGCTTAACCCACTGAGCCACCTAGGCACCACTTAAAAATAAAATCTTAAAAAACTTTTTAAGTTCTCCATTGAATTCATTATTGGTTAATATTTTTAGCTTCCTCTGATTCATTGGTTCTCAGAGGATTTTGTGGACTTGTACAGACAGAATCAGTGAAGAACCTCCTAGGGGCCTAGTGAAAGAAAAAAACAATAGGAATCGGGAAGCCCTGGCTTCTGCTTGAAGCTCCACTGACTACAGTCAGCTCTAAACTTGGAGCACAGCAAAGTGTTTTTATATTTTGTAGTCTAAACTGTTTAAAATAAAAAAGGTGTTTTTATCATAGAATGTTTCATGTATTTTCACAAGGATACAGAAGAATAGAATATCTGTTGAGGAGCCTTTATCAACATTTTCTAAGTTTTATAGCACTTTTCCTACTTCAGGCTATTGGTGTTTTGTTTTGTTTTTTAAAGGTTTTATTTATTTATGACAGAGATACCTAGAGAGGGAACACAGGTGCGGGGGAGCTGGAGAGGGAGAAGCAGGCTCCCCATTGAGCAGGGAGCCCCATGCAGGGCTCAATCCCAGGAGACTGGGATCATGACCTGAGCTGAAGGCAGACGCTTAATGACTGAGCCATCCAGGTGCCCCTGTTTTGTTTTATTTTAATGAAATCTTGAATGAACTTTGAGACTTTATAGCAGATGCATTTCCAAGCTTTTATTCCATTCTTTCTTTTTAAATTTTAATTTAATTAATTTATTGAGTGGGCTCCATGCCCAGTGTGGGGTTCAACACCAGGCTGAACTCACGACCCTGAGATCATGACCTGAGCTGAGATCAAGAGTTGGACACTTGGAGCGCCTGGGTGGCTCAGTGGGTTAAGTGTCTATCTTGGGCTCAGGGTCCTGGGATCGAGCCCGGCATCAGGCTCTCCACACCTGGCGGGGAGCCTGCTTGCCCCTCTCTCTTTGCCTGCCTCTCTGCCTACTTGTGATCTCTGTCAAATAAATGGGTGAAATCTTAAAAAAAAAAAAAAAAAAAAAAAAAAAAAGAGTCGAACACTTAACTGACTGAACCACCCAGGTACTCCTTATTCCATTCTTTCTGAGAACTGAATATCCATCTTATTTTTGCTTTTTGGAATAAATTTATAGTCGGACTAGGGTTTCTTGTAGTGATTTATCTTAACATGGTATTCTAGAAATACAGGATTTGCTTGGAGCAGAATGGTTATCATCTTTGGAACCTTGATTTAAAAAAAATAATGTCCTAAGTTTAATTCGGTATGAAATGCTGTATTCTATTTTTTTTTTTTTTAAGATTTTATTTATTTATTTGTCAGAGAGAGAGAGAGAGGGAGAGAGAGCGAGCACAGGCAGACAGAATGGCAGGCAGAGGCAGAGGGAGAAGCAGGCTCCCCGATGAGCAAGGAGCCCGATGTGGGACTCGATCCCAGGACGCTGGGATCATGACCTGAGCCGAAGGCAGCTGCTTAACCAACTGAGCCACCCAGGCGTCCCGAAATGCTGTATTCTAAAAGTAAGCTATTGATTTATTAGAATTATACTCCCTTCACTAAATGCTTGTCAAAAATAGAGGACACAAGACTTTAATTTCCCTATCTTATATAGTGCAAAGTCTGGAGATACTCTGAAATTAATAAGCCTACAAATACAGATTTAAAGCTATGAAATTGATCATGGAAAAAATAAAAATGTGATTGGCAGGGGTTAGTGAGAGGAAGATAATTTAAATGCCCTAAACTTACCTTTCCTGAAGGACAGATCAGTGTTTAAAATTGCTAGATCAAGAAGGCATACTTGCATATTATTTTGTGGGTGTTTTGTTTTTTTTTTTAAGGCAGTTAACATGTTTGTTAGCTTGATTGTGGTGATTATTTCTTAATGCATAGTTATATCAACTTACAAATTGTACCTGTTAAATACATACAATTAAAAAACAGTTGCTTTGCATTAAATGACACATTAAAAGACAGATGAATGCACATATATTTGATATAGTGTCCTTTTATAAGATACACAGAGAACTTTTACAAATCAAGTAGCAAAATGCAGAAAACTTTATAAATTGGTAAAAGACTTAGAATGACATTTTAAAGAACAGGATTTCAAAATTATCAGTAGACACAACTTTGGGTGCCAGGGTGGCTCAGTCCTTAAGGGGCTACCTTCAGCTCAGGTCATGATCCTGGAATCCTGGTATCCAGTCCTGCTTTGAGCTCCTTGCTTAGCAGGAAACCTGCTTCTCCCTCTCCCACTTCCCACTTCCCCCTACTTGTGTTCCTTCTCTCACTGTGTCTCTCTCTGTCAAATAAATAAATAAAATCTTAAAAAAAAAAAAAAAAAAGGTATTCAACTTCATTAGTCATCAAAGAAAAGTAAGTTAAATCCTGAATATGGCACCTACCGTGCTCTGTTAATGAAAAATCAGACATTAATATTAAGTGCTGTTGAGAATGTATAACAGCTATATGTGGGGTTATTTTTAAATTATTTTTCTGTACTATTTGAATATTTTTTCTTAAAAAATAAATGTGTTACTTTTACTTCCCCCCAAACCAGCAAAACAAACCAGAAAACTAGATGTAATTCTACCCTGAAAATTTGTTTCTAGAAAAAGAATTTGGTGCAGTTCTCCTTTGTATTTAATATCAGACTTCATATGAGTCTTAAGCCTCCTGATTACTGAAATTTGGAATGAAGGGAAATAAGTCACTAGGAAGATTTAGGACCTGCCTTTACCAAACAATGCTTGTATGAAGGTTTTCTGATTCTGTAAACTTACTTATAACTTTTGGGGGTATTTATGTTCGTTTGTATTTATTTTCCCAGATTTGAGACAAAAAAAGGTTTTGCTGCATGGTTCTCCATACTTTTTAAAAAATTGCTTTGAGGGGTGCCTGGGTGGCTCAGTGGGTTAAGCCTCTGCCTTTGGCTCAGGTCATGATCCGAGTCCTGGGATCGAGCCCCGAGTCGGGCTCTCTGCTCAGCGGGGAGCCTGCTTCCCCCCCACCCCGGTCTACCTGCCTCTCAGCCTACTTGTGATCTCTGTCAAATAAATCAATAAAATCTTTAAAAAAAAAAAAATTGCTTTGACATAGTAGCTATGACTCCAATACAGACAGTCTTCAGAATTCAAGTAGTCTCTCACTATTTTATGGGAATGCAGCTAATTGTTGAAGAAAATAAATTTGGGGAAATGTAAGTTTCAGTTGACCTCTGCCATTCTTTTATGATGGAGGTAGATTACTGAAATACGTAATAGCATAGCATAGAAACAGTTAATTTCTGTTCATATATCTCTCCTTTGTCCCTTTTTGAGCTAGAAGGGTAAGTGTGATTAGGTATTTAGAGTCACATGCTGGGAATTTTGTAATGTTCTTGGGTCTATATTATGAGAGCTGCTGCCTTCAGAAGGAAATTCCAGTCATGATGCTCTGGAGGGGAGGTTTGACACATTCTGTACCAGTGTGGTGAGTGTTTGTGGGTCACCTACACTGGAATGTCCTTCTCTGAATAGGTAAGAAAAGGATGAGGTGCTTGTCCTTTGTGGTGGTCTTCTCATTTGTGCCATGACATCACTGAGAGCTGAATTTTGAAGTCTCACAGACTTCGAAAGACCTCCTAATTTTCAACTCTGAGAGAAGAAGATATCTGAATGCAGCTGTAGCAGAGAGAAGAGAGAACTGAGCAAGGGAGATGGTCAGAAGAGAAGTGAGAAAGGGACAAACGAGTTAAATTTCAGATTAGAGGCTGTCAGCAAAGGCTTTAACCTTGCCCTCACCTGACCTGCACTTGCTGTTCTCTGCACTTTATCTTGCTTGGAGTTTCCTGAGAAATAGAGGCTCTCCGGAGAGTAGTGGCCTAGGATTTGACTTTAGGCAGGGCAAGGTATATGTGTTGTTCTCGTGTGTGTGTGTGTGTGTGTGTGTGTGTGTGTGTGTGTTATTTATGGAAAAGTATATTGAGAATATATTATATGCATCATTAAAAGAATTACTATTGGGTCTCTTCTCTTTGAAAGCACCCAAATATAATTTGTGTAGTATATTTAGTGTCCCACAGAAATGTTGCCAGTGTTAATAACTTAGTAGCAGTAAGAATTACATGTTTTCTTTGGTCTAACACTTGTCCCAGATACATAGGTTCTTTTCCCAAGATATATACTAACTATTTACCAAGAAAAAGGGTAACATTTATGGTTGTAAGTTAGAGATGTTACAGAGACAAAGAGCCATAATCCTTCCTTTCTACATTCAGTTGCAAATGCAACATACATGTATATGTATACATATATGTACCTACTGTGTGTCAGCCAGAGAGTATTGGGACAGTCTTGTCTGCCAGGAGTCAAGTGAAAGAGATGAGATGATTACCCATATGCCTTTTATCTGTAACATAAGGCAGAACACCTGGGCAGTGAAAGAGGCTGGCATTTTTAGCCTTGATGCCCTTCTAGCCCTTCCTTGATGGCCCAGGGAAACAAATCACTTTTTCATTTGCAATTGACAGAGAGCCCTTTTCGGCAAAAAGGTTGACATCGTCAGTGTGACCCTCCTATCCTGCTGCTGCTTTTGTTCTGGAGGTGGTTCTGATCCAGAGAGGAGGGAACAGTATGAAAGTAGCAGTGGTAAGGCCCTCAGCAGTCCATAGATAGATTGCGTGGTTGTCCCCCAGGTAATTGAAAATTACTATCTACCCCTGCAGATTCATTCTTAGGGTAAATACCCCAATGAAGAATGTGACAAATTGATCTCTGAATCTTAGTAGTGACCTAGTAATTTAAAGCGCTATTCAGTTCCCTCCACTAGCTAATTTTAATAATACCAGCTAGTACTTATATGGTGCTATCTATGTTGGATTTTCTTCCAAGGACTTTATTTGTGAAGTGTGTTTAATCTTTATGTCAATTCTGTATGGTAGATACTGTTTGTCCCCATTTTATATACAAACTAAGGTTAAATAACTTGTCCAGGGTTTCAGAGCTAAGGAGAGATCAAGCTGGGATTTGGACCCTGGCAGGCTGGCTCCAAAATCCGTGCTTTTGACCAGTAAGCTGTGCTGTAAAAGAATGTGAGCAATATACGGCAAATGGATTTTTGGTGTTTCTGGTGTCAGATGAAATATAAGTATATACTCCCTTTCTCTAGGGTCTTGCTACAGCTAGATGGTATATGTATTCTTCACTCTAGGACATCGTTGGCCGCAGAAATTGAACATGTCAGTAGGAATCCCTGCTCCTGACTTCCTTGGTTGTCCTCTCTGTGATGGTCACAGTAATTTTGCATGTGACTTTTGTTGTCCAGTGCTTGGCTCTGCAGAGAAGATGGCATTGGCCTAGAGCTGGGTGGAGAGTGTGTTTTCAGCCTGTTTGATCCAGTACTGTGACGCATGCCTTTGTTTTTTGTTTTCACTGTGATAGTTTGATTTAAGAAATGTTTATGGAAACAATTTCTAGATGCTGTTAACTAAAAAAAGAATAAGGTGGTATAATAACTCTATTTCGGTTCTAGATGTACACAGCTACCCTGAATATTCCACTCTGATGCAAGCATGATTGCTCTGCATTTCAGAATATGAAAACAATAGCATAATTTTGACTTCTGACCATTTATTTTATTTCTAGGAACCCTAAGGACTCTGCAATATGAATAATTCCCTGGAAAACACCATTTCCTTTGAAGAGTACATCCGAGTGAAGGCGCGGTCTGTCCCGCAACACAGGATGAAGGAATTTCTGGACTCACTAGCCTCTAAAGGGCCGGAAGCCCTTCAGGAGTTCCAGCAGACAGCTACCACTACCATGGTGTACCAACAGGGTGGGAACTGCATTTATACAGACAGCACCGAAGTGGCTGGGTCTTTGCTTGAACTTGCCTGTCCAGTCACCACCAGTGTTCAGCCACAAACCCAACAAGAACAGCAGATTCAGGTTCAACAACCACAGCAGGTTCAGGTAAAAGGGAGATGTTGAAGTGCATCCTGTTTAATAGATTTTATTTGCCATCCGGTTTTGGTTAGTAGGAACATCACATCACAAATGTCCAAGGTTATTTTTACTAAGGGGAGTACGGTTTTTTAAAACACATTTAACACAAAGGCTTTCATAGTTAGTATAGACTAAAAGTATTTGCAACTATCATAAACTAAAAAGATTGCAGATACTTGCCATTTGCTTTGGAGAATTGAACAGTATGGGAATTAGTGGTCTTCTGGGACTGGCTTTGGATGTGACATAGCTGTGTGTTATGGAAGGTTCTCTTTTATCTGTGTCACCCTGAACAGATCAAGAGCAGAGGAGGGGTTCATCTTACCTCATTATTTAAAGCGTGACATTTGGAAGTTGTTTTAAAAGGATATAATATATTTTAGTGATCTTCATTTAGTTTTATTGTTCCCTGACTTAGGTCCCTTGTAGATTTCTAGGTCTGCATTTACTGTTTGTAATCCTCAGGAAATAATGCTAATTGTAATGAGCTTACAGAAAGAGAAGAAACTTCATACATTTGCTGAGAAGGTAAAAGTGCCTCTTTAGGGCTTCCTCATCTGAGGCTAACAGTATGCTCCATTTACAAATGCGGCTTTCTTGCCCCTGTCTATTGTGATTCTATTTCATTTTGTCCTCAATGTTTTTTACACCAAGAGAATTGGAAAGGGTAGAACTTGATGGAGGGGCAAGGACTGTAGAGAGGTATGTTTGATGAGATAGAAAGACTGTGGCCTCTTTGCTCCTTAGGAATGCAGGCAGGTATATTGGAAGGATCTGGACCCTGGAGTTGCATTCCTGGGTTTAAGTCTGGCTTGACCTCCTATTTGTTGACATGATTTAAATCTTTTTAGCCCTAGATTTTTCATCTGTTAAATAGGGATAATACTATTTAGTGATACTGAATGAGATAATAAGAAAACATCTGGCATGTGGAGGAATGCAGTATTGTTTTTTCGTTTTGGGGTTTTTTTTTCTGTTTTTTTGGGTTTTTCTTGTATTTTAAGATTTTATTTATTTATTCAACAGAGAGAGAGTGTGCACAAGCAGGGGGAGCTGCAGGCAGAGGGAGAGGGAGCCGCTGGCCTCCTGCTGAGCAAGGAGTTGGGTGCGGGGTTTGTTCCCAGAACCCTGGGATCATGACCTGAGCTGAAAGCAGACCCTTAACGACTAAGCCACCCAGGCACCCCTGTTTTTTCCACTCTTTGTAAGGAAGGAGGTATATAGGAAGGGTAGACTGATTTTTTGGTTCAAGAAATTATTCTGCTGTTACTTACACCGTGGACTTCATTTTTCATAAGGTTAAAATGGTTTGGGATATGGGCGTCTGACTAGTCTGTAGAGCATGCGATGTGACTCTTGATCTTGGGGTCTTGAGTTCAAGCCCATGCTGGGTGTAGAGCTCACTTTAAAAAAATAAAAGGGAAAAAAATGGCTTGGGATTTGAGTCTAAATGTTGTCTAAGACTTTATGTTTAAGATGGCGAATTGAGGGGCGCCTGGGTGGCTCAGTGGGTTAAAGCCGCTGCCTTCGGCTCAGGTCATGATCCCAGGATCCTGGGATCGAGCCCCGCATCGGGCTCTCTGCTCGGCAGGGAGCCTGCTTCCCTTCCTCTCTCTCTCTGCCTGCCTCTCTGCCTACTTGTGATCTCTGTCTGTCAAATAAATAAATAAAATCTTTAAAAAAAAAAAAAAAAGATGGCGAATTGAGGTCACCTGTTGACATCATCATCTTTCCTTAAAACCCCTGTAACTAAAAGAAGGAACGAAAATATAATAATAAATCCATGAGATACAAGCACTGAGCATGGAGCTTGCCTAAGATCTCTTTCTGTCCCTCTGCCGCTCTCACCACTTGAGCGCTCTCTCTCTCCCTTAAAAATAAAAACAAAGGGGCGCCTGGGTGACTCAGTGGGTTAAGCTTCTGCCTTCGGTTCGGATCATGATCTCAGGGTCCTGGGATCGAGCCCCCACATCCGGCCTTCTGTTCAGCGGGGAGCCTGCTTACCCTCCTCTCTCTCTGCCTGCCTCTCTGCCTACTTGTGATCGGTCCGTCAAATAAATAAATAAAATGTTAAAAAATTAAAAAACTTTTTTTTTTTTTAAAGATTTTTATTTATTATTTGAGAGAGAGAGAGAATGAGAGAGAGAGAGAGCAAGAGAGGAGGGAGGTCAGCAGGAGAAGCAGACTCCCTGTCAAGCAGGGAGCCCAATGTTGGACTCGATCCCAGGACTCCAGGATCATGACCTGAGCCGAAGGCAGTCACTTAACTGACTGAGCCACCCAGGTGCCCAAAGCAAAAAACTCTTATGGCAAATCTATTTTCATTAATAACTGGCTTAAGCCAGAGGGATTTAATTTTTCTAAAATTTTCTAAAATTTTTCTAAAAGTTGGCTTTGTAGATTTAACTTAAATAAAGATTAAATTGATATTGTTACTTACAAAAATTGATACTGTTAATCTAAAGTTACCAAAATCACAAGCTAGACAGTATTAATAAAAATATGACTGAAAATACAACTTTATATAAGATTTTGAAAAAAAATTTTTTTCTGAGTGACATCAGACTCAAATATATGCCTTGCAGTTATAAAATTACTATGCAGGAGTGCCTGGGTGAGTTGGTTAAGTGGCTGAGTTGGTTAAGTGTCCAACTCTTGATTTCAGGTCAGATCTTGATCTCGGGGTTTTGAGTTCAAGCTCAGCTTGAACACCCAGCTCCATGCCCACTTAAAGAAAAAAACCCGGAGTTACTATACACACATGTTGGTTTCTTGGTCTCTTTTATTGGTCTGTCTATACTTAGTTTAAAAGGATAATTTTTTAAATTAAAAATAGCGCATGAGGCATAGGGGAGGTAAGTCCTGTATTAGCAGATACTGTTTGCACCCAAGCTGCTCTGACTGGAGCCTGTGCTTCTGCATTGTGCTGCTGATACACGAAGAACTCCGAGAAAGTAGAAAAAATAACCTAGTAAAAAAATGAACAAAGGATATAGTAGTTTGTGAAAGAAGAAATACATGTGATCATATGCATATCAGAAGATGTTTCATACTACTGGTAATTATGGAGGTATAAATTTTGAAAGTGAAATATATTTCATTTATTAGATAGGAAAACATTTATAAAGATTTTATCCAGGACAGCAAGGGTATGGAGAGGATAAATTAGTGTAACTCAGTCAGTTAAGCGTCTGCCTTAGGCGTAGATCATGATCCTAGGGTCCTGGAATTGAGCCCTGCGTCTGGCTCCCTGCTCAGGGGGGAGGCTGCTTCTCCCTCTCCCTCTGCTGCTTTTGCTCTCTCCATTGCTCACTCTTTCTCTCAAATGAATAAATCTTTTTTTCAACAATGCAAAAAAAAAATTAGTGTAATTTCTTGGAAGTGGTTTTGGCAATACTTATCAAATGCTTAAGTGTGCGTACCTTTGACCTTGCATTTGTGTTCACAGGTATATATGTATATGGGGATATTCACTGCTGCACTCATTATAGTAGTAACACTAGAAACAAGTCGTTCGTAAGGGAAATGGCAAATAATGGCACTGGTACAATTGTAGTGTATTGTCCTATGTAGCCAGAAGAACGAGGTAGATCTACATGTTTTGACAAGGTAGGATGTATAGCAGATTGCTGAGGGTCAAAACCAGTTTAGTTTAACATGCAGAATGTAGTAGTTCTTGAACAATAGTAGTAAAGTTCAAAACAGTAATTGGGCTTGGGAGTGGGGTGCTAAGGAGAAGAGCTCAATTTTTATTTGTTTATTTATTTATTTATTTTTAAAAAGATTTTATTTATTTATTTGTCAGAGAGAGAGGAGCTAGAGCGAGCACAGGCGGACAGAGTGGCAGGCAGAGGCAGAGGGAGAAGCAGGCTCCCCGCCAAGCAAGGAGCCCGATGTGGGACTCGATCCCAGGACGCGGGGACCATGACCTGAGCCGAAGGCAGCAGCTTAACCAACTGAGCCACCCAGGCGTCCCTATTTTTTTATTTATTTTTAACTGGGCTCCATGCTGGGCTTGAATTTTTTTTTTAATTTATCTTTTTAAAAATTTTTTATTAACATATAATGTATTATTAGCCCCAGGGGTACAGGTCTGTGAATTGCTAGGTTTATACACTTCCCAGCACTCACCATAGCACATACCCTCCTCCCCAATGTCCATAACCCAACCACCCTCTCCCTACCTCCCCAGCCTCAGTAATCCTCAGTTTGTTTTGTGAGATTAAGAGTCTCTTATGGTTTGTCTCCCTCCCAATCCCATCTTATTTTTTCCTTCCCTACCCAGCAAACCCCCCACATTGCCTCTCAAATTCTACATATCAGGGAGATCATATGATAATTGTCTTTTCTCTGATTGACTTACTTTGCTCAGCATGATACCCTCTAGTTCCATCCACGTCATTGCAAATGGCAAGATTTCATTTCTTTTGATGGCTGCATAGTATTCCATTGTATATATGGACCACATCTTCTTTATCCATTCATCTGTTGATGGACATCTAGGTTCTTTTCATAGTTTGGCTATTGTGGTTATTGCTGCTATAAATAAACATTCGGGTACACGTGCCCCTTGGGATCACTACATTTGTGTTTTTAGGGTAAATACCCAGTAGTGTGATTGCTGGGTCATAGGGTAGCTCTACTTTGAACTTTTTGAGGAACCTCCATGCTGCTTTCCAGAGTGGTCACTCCAGCTTGCATTCCCACCAACAGTGTAGGAGGGTTCCCCTTTCTCCGCATCCTCACCATCATCTGTCGTTTCCTGAGTTGTTAATTTTAGCCATTCTGACTGGTGTGAGGTGGTATCTCATTGTGGTTTTGATTTTTATTTTTTGTATTTCCCTGATGCCGAGTGACGTAGAGCACTTTCACATGTGTCTGTTGGCCATCTGGATGTCTTCTTTGCAGAAATGTCTGTTCATGTCCTCTGCCCATTTCTTGATTGGATTATTTGTTCTTTGGGTGTT